TTTTAGGACTTCCATCCAGTAGGAGTCCATCCCCTCCACTTAGGAGGGATCTCAAAAGGAGTTTGGGGGTTTTAGTTTTCAGTTCTTACTCCACAGCTCTGTCCATGGAGATTAGTTCTGCTCTGTGCCGGCACTTTTTCTCTCCTTGCAGGAGTTCTCTCTGCGTTGCTGCATGCTTGTCTTTGCTGCTTGTTCTTATCTTTTCTGGTTCTCTGCCATAGCCTCGGGTCAGTGCTGTTTCTGCCGCTGCTCCTGCTGCTGCTCACAGTGGAGAAAAACTCCCAGCTTCTCAGCTACAGATACTTAGCCCAGTCTAGCACAGTTCCAAGTCCCTGTAGCCCCCCAGCCGGGGGCTGGGGGGGGCCTAGCCCCCAGTGGGGCTCTGGGCCCCTTCCTCGTGGCTTACAACATGGCCACTTCTCCTCCAACAACAACCACAACAACTACCTTCTTTTCCGATCTGGGTGATATGTTTACATTTTACAGGAGCGCTGGTTGACTCTACCCCCAGGGGTCACCACCCGCTGGGGGGGTTACCATTTTATAACTCTAGGAGGAAAACTGTTTTTTCCCCACTACAATGTATAACATCACAGTCAAATGAAATCTTAATCCTAAAGCAACAATGAACATTGGAGTTGTGATAGAAGATTGCCATTATGAAAGAAAGCCACTGTTTTTGTAGACTCCATAAGAAGAACTGGATAAAATCAGAAGTCATCTGATATGTAAGGCCAGTCTATACAGAAACTGATCCAAACTCTTCTTAAAGTTTTAAAAACTGGTCAATATCTAATTCCAAGTTATTTTAATTGGTCATTTTTTACAATCTATTTATACTCAAATAAAAAAAAATCTTAAGGTCTTTCAGTCCATTCGAAGACAGTAAGTATCGGAATTTTTTTTTAAATAAACACAGCATCATGGAATTTTCATGTCATTAATGAAAACAGAATACAAATCTGTTTCTAATCTACCAATGAAAAGAAATGGAAAAAAAAGAAAAAAAAACCTTGTAAAAATTATCTAAACATCTGAACATTTAAGCATGGGCATTCTGTAATGTTTTATCTACTTATCTGCATTTTTTTACAGTAACCTATTATTTTGAATGGGATTTCATTGATTTTTGAGATAAAGGTAAGTGGTGAAGTTGGAAGCCCTCTTTTCCCTTTTTTAATAGAAGTAATAATAACAATTGAGGAACATGATCATTTTATCCAAAAGCATGCTATTTCCTTATAAATCACAAGATTGATATAACAGAAATTAAACTGACAAAGAAAAATATTGCAAAGAAATAAAGTAAATTTACCAATAGAATCAGTTTTAGAAAGACGTGTAAACAATTAGGTACATTTAATTACTTTTTCAAAGGCCAGATAACAGAGTGAAGGAATGTATTTCTTTCATCAGCTTACCCAGTCCTATGCTCCATATTATCACCTAGGAAAGGTTAATATATTTGTGTGTTGAGTCCAGAGCTAGCAAATGCCCATGAAGAAAAATAAGAAATAATCTCCTTTATCCAAAGCTTTCTCATTTGCTTATTAAAGTAATTTGAAAAGTCAAATAATTGCCTTCAAGAACTGAACTGTTTTAAATGATTTGAAATTCTCCTGATTTAGGAGCACTGCAAGATGAATATATGTGTAAATAAAACAAAATTAACTATAACTTCTGTACAATCACTTGTTTCAATTCGCTGTAAGCCACATTTTTGTCCCAAATTATGTCTTTCTGAACTGATTTTGTATGCACTCTCTAAAGATTTCTTTTTCAAGGGACAATATCTGTAAAGGAGTGAAGATTTTTTGAAGCTCATCTTATTCAGAAGACAATAATATAAATTATATACATAATTCCACACATATATATTGTCAATATACAAGAAACAGAAGTTTATATGTGCTTCACTGGAGAAACAATGGTGTCTAAAATTGAAATTCCTAACTTTGGACCTTCTGTGGGCAAACTCAATGTTGATGAAAGCAGAAACCCTACCAGCACACCAGTGACGAATGTGGCACGTGGTAACCACAGTTCTCATTGCCACGTAATTTGGTGGTGAAACACATACAGCATGTCATACATTCCCTGTACTACTCCCACTATACAGATAACTATATATCATAGTAAGGGATGGCCATAGTCAACATTCTAGTAACAACTACTTCTACTCTATGAAGTGGCCATGGCAACAGGACTACCTTTCCAATTCTTCCTTTTACCTTCCCAAAAAGCATTAGCAGAAAATGTCTTTCTATGGTATCTTTTCCTTGATAAAAATGTTGATTTCAAAAGGATTTAATTTTGAAAAGAAAGTAGTCAACACCTACTGATATCAAGAGAGTGCCCTATATCTTTCAGCATCTCCAGAGAGAAAAGTTACCTCTTTGGAATGAGTATATTTTTGTGTACCTTTGGGGGAAAAAAATAAAAGAAAAAAAAAAGAAAAAAAAAAAATACTCCAATCAAGGTGAGACAGTCATTTTCTCTTTTGTGGGACAAATACATATATATCTATAGATACATGTCAAAACAATAAAAACAATCTATATATTATCCTCTTTGGAAACAGGAGAAAGCTACCAGCAATGATCAATGCGTGGCTAGTCAGAATAATGTAGGAATGAGATAAATTACAGGTAAGAATTCAGAAAAGTGCAAACACAATAATCCCAAACACACTGTCAGTGGCGTGTACCAAGTTCTGTATATAAGAAATACCTGATTGCATTTAAAATGCAAGCTGAGTCCCATCTAATTCAAGACCTCAAGCAAAAGATACTTGGCCTTTCCTCCTCTCCATCACAATGAACCTCTACATGCTGACGGCCCAGCCTCTTGTTTGTATGGCAAGACAACCAGCAACTTACTGTAACAGCATCACAATTGACACTCTGCCAGCAGTGACGTGTCTGCAGTGCCAATTAACTGAGGATCAGTGCTCTGCCCGACCTACCAAGAGCATCCTCCAGCCTTGTCAACATACCTGCTCTTCCCCAGGGGAACCTGAGATCCCTGGGTGGGGTGATAATGGTTTCACAGTGCCACAAGGAGAGGTTGTCCCCCTCCTTTGACTTTGAAAAGAAGGAGTTATCTCCCGTTCCTCAGGAAGCAGAAGGTCAGGGAACATCTGCATTTAAATCGAAAACAGTTAGCAGTGCTAACACCAGGAGCAGCTCATAATTAGGGATTATTAGCACAGCAATATGGAATGATTGATACAGAGTTGAAGCTAATGACTTCAAGATGATTAGGTCATTTTGTCACCAGTTGTTTACTCTGTCTATAGACACAAAAATCTGTGTACTTTAGCCACTGCAGAGCACTGTATGATGCCTGATGGGTAGGAGAGTATGAACGGTAATGCTGTAATACTCTGTAAGCTGAGCACATGGGAAATAAATGCTGAAACTAAAGAAAAAGCTTTGTATTTGTTTAGGTGAGCAAGCTGCAGCACAACTGAGGATTGTTTTAACTGTCTATTCCAGGAATTTCTGCAGCAGATTCAAGTGCCACACCTGTGAGGTTTGAGCTGAATTTACCATTTTCAGTGGTTACAAGAACTCTTCTGTTCCATCTTTTTTCCTTTAGAAGCAAAGTTCAGAATATGTTTGAAGACAAAAATGTGCAAGCAAACCCACAAAAATCTTTCTAGGTGAAAATGTCTGAATGTACCTAAATGAGGTGGTACAAAACTATCCTGTAACAAATCCAGTCTTCTGACTTGATTCAATATGGAACAGGAGCACCTACTTGTACCTTCAAAGGCAATAAGCCTTAATCACCTACTTAAGATAAGCGTGTTCTCACATTCTCACATTTCTCAAGAGGGAAAAACCCCCTTACCTCTCCAAATGCCTTGCTGAACCAAATCTTCAATAATGACCTTTGAGCAACTGCAAATGAATCCTGAGTGAATGCTGAGTCAGCAGAACTGTTAGGCCTCCTGCACCCACTTCTTCAAAATCGGGGGAAAAAACAGCAAAACCTAGGAAAAATCGTTTCTCCATATGCCCTAAGGGGTGTGACATACCTCACCAGTCTCACCTGTGAACTCTTCATTGCTTAAGATATGCAACACACCCCAGTTGCTTTATACCCTGAGCTCAGGAAGATACATGAGCTGGACACTGGGATCACAAGTAAAGGGTTTTCCACTCCAGTGATGGGAAAGTAATCAGGGAAGATGATGCACTGGAGGGCAGCCCTCTGAGAAAGAAGGGAAGAGGCAGGGAGGGAGCACAGGGCCATGCCTGATGCCATCTGTCATCACTGCAGCTGCCTCACAGAAGACAACCCTGAATGGAAGCCTGTTAATTTCTTTATAAAGTATCTCATTAGTCCCTCCCTTCCTGAGCTACCTCCCTATTAAAATGCGATAAATTAATTCTGCTATTCCCAGTTCCAGCCTGTCCCCTTACTGAAATGAAGATGAGTCATGCTGGTCAGGACTCAAGAGAGATCATTATACAAGGGCCAGGGGAGGTATTTAATTTCCTGACTGCTGAGCTGCCCTATCTGTAGTAGACATGGAATCTCCCATCCCTCCTTTTGCTCAGGAAACTTTGGACAAAGAATAAGAAGGTATGGAAAATGTATGTATGAACTCTCTGTGTAGCACTCTATCAAAACGTACATATGACTGACAAGGAGTAATGAATTTGAGGGGTCTGATAGTGGACCAGATTCCAGCGCAGTAACCCCTGGGTTCAGGACAGTGTTTACTGATGCTATCAAAGATGTACATGCTAGTATGAGTGCTCTCTTTACCTGTTCATGGGGGTGCCTGGCTGTGCCAGCTGTGCAGAAAGGACATGCTGAAGGGCTGCAGCCAAGGCTCTAACCTCATTCTCTGCAGTGAGTGCTGCTTCTGAGAGGAAGCACAGTGTGGATAGTTTTGATGAGGGAGTTAGCATATGAGGGGATGCCCTTTACATCTCTGAAAGAATAAGAGAGGATCAATATTAAAACCTACAGATCAAGGTATAATATTCTTATCGTAACTCACCTGAAACACTGAAATATACTAAGGAAAAGTGTTAAAAATTATAGAAGAAAGCACATTCGACCCTGTATATGGGATTGTCCTTTCTACCTCTCAGCCTGCACCCAGCAATAAAGGGGAATTTATGATTGAAATTTCAATTTCTACTTTCGTTCCTCCACTTGTACACACAGAAACACATTTCTGACTTCCATCACACACACACTCACACACAACCACACTCTGCTGATTTCCACCGGGCATTTAATTTCTGGCAGGCATCTTATGGGTCATAATGAATCTGAGAATTTGACTGATTTCTCTTTTAGCACTTTACCCTCTTAAACACTGACAGGATCTCAGAGCCCCTGCTACTTTTCACAGCCAGCTAAGTGATGCATTGATGTCTCGCCAGCCACATTTGAATTTAGTTTTGTGCAAGACAGAAACATCTTCTAGATGTGCTGGATTTTAATTGAGTAAGGAAAAAAGCAAAAAGCTATGAGTATTCTGAGCAAAAATATCACATATTTTATCCACCCTAACTTAACTTATTGTTAGCAAAAATAAAAGAACTTTCTTCCCCACCATAATCACTATCCTCCCTTCTTTTTTCTCAGAACAAGTAATAACTGAGATTACAGCTAAAGTATACATACTTTTATTTTTATTCTTAAAATTTATGTGTTATGTTTCATTTACATCAGAACAACAGCCACCCAGGGAAAATCCTCGTTCCACTGTTCTGCTGTGTAATAGTTGAGAGAAAATAAATTAATACCAAATGTCGTATATGCTTAACTAATGGCCATTCCCCGTACCTCCCATGCTCCAAATGTTACCCTTAAACAGAAGCAGAGTCATTCTGTGCATCTGTGCTACCTGTAGCAGGCAGCACCACTACCAAGGATCATAGAATATACCCAGACAGAATCTCCCAGTGTGGAGTCTGCCCAGAAAATCTGTGCTTGTAGGAAATCTTGGGTACCATTAACATTGAAATCTATAACCAAGTAACTTTTAAAAAATTTTCTGAGATAAAAAATCTGGAATCAACAAGAGTACTGATGTACCCCCTCCTTTCCCTCCTTTCTTATTTGTCCTAAGGTGTTTGGGGGGGGAAGGTGTCCCTTCTTTTTTTTTTTTTTAATATATTCTTCCATATAGAAACAGTGTTTTCAGGCAACACAGTCATTGCATTAAACAGTAGCATCAGCGCAGATCGACACAGAGCAGAGTTGAGGTATCTGCGAGAGAGCATGGTTCAGGTGGGTGATTCACTATGTAACAGAAAGAAATAGGAAGAAGAAATTGTGAAGGCGAATATCTCTGACCCTCTCAAAGACGTCTCTCCAGCTGTCTGTCCATCCTAATCATTGGCATTTACCATCCAGTCAGCTGCATTGGCAAGCAAAGAGTAATTCTATAGCCTACAGAGAGTAACTGTACTGCTTGCCCAAGAATCTGTAGAGGTAAAGCTCTTCCAAACATCCATGAGAGCTTTCCCACATCACACCCAAACTGGGTGGTTGCCGATTGGCTGAATCAGGGTCATAGCACAGCAATCTCATTGCTGCCACCTGTAGTGGCAAAGAGTCCTATGAATGCAAGACACGGGAACCAATGTCATCACATCTGAGCAAATATAAAATACACATTTCTGTAAATGATATGCAACACTAAGAACAGAAAGTTCCAGTCAGAGAAAGAAGAGGAAAAAGATATCAGATTAGAGGAGACTGCAACCACTAAGATAATTAATTTGATTTTGAGTCCACTCTCAGGTTTGCCCTTGAAATGAACACAGCCCGGACAAACTTTTCCATGGCTTAAAAATTATTGACCTCCGCTATTCAGACTCAAAGTAGAAGCCATGGGTGGCAATGGCTGGTTTCAACTAAAGGTTTGAAAACAGTTTCTATGCCCTTCCAAGATGATACCCTAATCACTGGCCTCTATCAGAGCTCTACCTCCATCTCCAAAGCTTTTCTAGATGGTATGAAATAGCCACTGCAATTTAGAAGTGAAATCTCATTAGTTTACTAATTCCCCAGCTGCTGCGCTCTCCACACTTTGTTTCTGGGTTTTCTTCCATGTTGGCTTTATACAATATTATACAATATGGCTTGTCTATGGATACCTGAAGAACTCATTACCTTTTTGAGCATTTGTGTGCTGTACATTGAGTGTCATGTGCTCACATTTACCAATGGAGATTGAGGAAAGTGGAAGGTGATTTATTATTGCAAGGTAATCTCTAATTTGCACATATGTTCAATTTTAGAAGAGGCTATGCTCAGAGGTCTTAAAAGGGCACTGGCTTCTGAGTACATTTGGGAAGCTTGCAACAGAGGCTTGCTGTTTGATCTCTTCTTCAAATCTCTTTCACTTCTTTAATAAAAGAAAAACTATGCTAATAATCCAGGTAGATGATTTGTGAATTTTCAGTACACTGCTGCCGCTGTTAAACCTCTACAGATTAAATCTACAGATCTGTAATTTTAGATTTTCTCCTTATATTAACATTCCTAGGTATATGGCATAACCTACTACTGATATTTACATTTAGCAGTTTCACTTTATATCCTTGTTAAAAAGGTCTTTCACCTAAAAAACATGTACATATAGAAAACTACAGAGAGGTACATTTGTCTGTCTCAGGAGGATAAAGAGTAAAGAAAATGATGACAGAATATGATTCAGTGCATCCAGAGTGGCTGAATACTTTGCCTGTGATCACTGAAAGGCAGGTGCCCACCCCTTTATTCAGAAGGGAATCTCTGCACTGGATTTGGGCTCTATCTTTTGCTTTTTTCATCAGCCGCACAGAAATATAATTGAAGAGATGTGGAACTGAATACTTTTAGTTATAGCTTTTATAAGAAATTCAATCTAAGATTTTGAAAACTGTTTTCTCTGCATACCACAGTGGTCTCTCTGCAAGAGACCTGTAATTCTGAGGCAGCATAAAGGGGCTGTATGAAAGGCCCATTAGCAGAAAATTCTCCAATTGGTAGGAAACTCCCTTTCAGTGGCAGCTAACCAAGCTGACTCTTGCCCTGTACCTCTTTCCTGGCCTGGGAAAGGTGATATGTCAGGGTCAGAGGCTCTGACAGAGAGGAGTTAAACTAGGCATTTTTTGGGTCAGAGTCTATTAAAGGATGTCAGCTAAACAGTGGAATTAGAGCAACCCAGGTGACCAATATCTCAGTTTGGGCTGGGCATGCTTACAAAGAAATCATAAATGGGCTTATCAACATTGATTACAGTGATTACAGTGGGTGGGTGAGTGGGTGATGTTAGATGCCTTGGTGGGTGATGCCTTGGTGCATCAAATGAAATCTTTCTTTTTCTATTTTTTCCCCAGAATTTGCATGAGTGTTTATAAGTGATACCATTTTTATTCTAAAATATTGTGACCAATATAGTTACATCAGTTCTGTATCTCCCTACTATTTCATGGAGCAAGCTACTCTCAAGTGGGGATGAGAACAGAGAACAGGCAGTGAATTAAAGAACAGTTTAAAAAGCAAAACAAAACAAAACCAACAAATACTCAAATACATAAAAATTGTTTTCCATTATGTTTTGTTTTGTAAATGTATGTACAGTCAAGAATTACTAGAAATGAGGCATAGATCCTCAGTGGACAAAAAACCCCTTACATATGTATATGTAGGTATACTTATAAATATTTGTGTGTGTGTATGTGTTTCTCCATTTATGTTGTAAACAAACTGCCACAGTTTGCACTAATCACAGACATTTGGGGTAGAGGTCCAACCTGTGACCAGCCCCATAGCAGGACAGGCTGCAGCTATTACCACCTTGAGAAATTACCACTGACACAACCAGTAACATATTTTTCCAATTAGTTTGAGGGAGGAAATGAGACATTTTTCTTCGTTAATGCCTCTCTCTCTTCCTCTCTTTGCCCATCCATTTTATGCTTCCTGATGGTGCTCAGGAGGCTGTCAGGTTCCCTCCAGCACACTTCCTGCTTCCACCCAGCAGGAATAAACTGTTAGCGCTTTGTTTGAAATGATTCCTGAGAAGTCTGATTCCTCTCACCAAAATATGAATAATTGTAGTATTTGACTCTTGGCTTCCTCCTCAGGGATCGTTCTGAGTTAAAGTTATTGAATTTATCCTGACAGAGATTGCCAAAGAAAACTTTATTTGAAGGACAGAGGGGGGAACAAACTGTTTGCTGAACTGAAAAAAGTTTGAAATACTATAAAGGGAGAGAAAAAGTCCCATAATGGAAGGTGGAAATCTGGGACAGACAAATCAGGCCATAAAATGTAAGATCAACACAGCGGTGGAAAGCAGGAAAGCATATCCTGGGCCAAACATACCAAGGGAGACTATTACACACATGGACCTCAGATGTCATATACAACATGCATCTGCAAACCACCTCATACTTCAAAGTCCCACATTACACTAAACTCAACAAGTCCATGCTGGAAATGAAGAGGCCTGAGTCAAGACTGCTAAGTGCTCAGTGAATCTAAGCATATAGACATCTTCAACCTTATGTATCCAGTCTTTCGTTTCTAACCTAAGGCCACCGCTTTTCCTATTTTAAACACCAAGGACATGACTCTAAGTCAGGAAAACGGAGTCACCTTTCCCAACATATCTGCGTAACATGTGCCTGTTAATCACACAACATCCAGTCCCAGTGAAGAGGCAGTAAAGCATGTCAGAAACAACACTGCTCTAAGAAAGGGAGCTTAAGTTTCTTTGGGCCTATGCACCATCAAGTACTAACAAGGTGCCTTTAATAACACTAAAGTGAAAGTGCTAGTGAGCTCCACCCAAGACAGGCGACTTCAAATGTCCCTGTCACCCACAGGTGCAAAGCTCAGATGTGATTTTCAGGTCTTCTGGTTTCCATTTGAAAAAGACGAGCATAAGTACTTGAAAGAAAGGTGCTTTTTAGGTGTCTGTAAAAGGTGTCAGAGATTTTACAACAAAGTCTGCTTTCAGTTAGATGTTTAGCTTAGCTGTGAAATTGGTAGGTGGTCCCCTACATGGAGTAGTAACGTCACACTTTGGCTTGCACATAAACTGTGTCACCTGCCACTAGTAATGATGCAGCAACAAAAGCCTAAAAGGGGATCCCTTACAACTGAAATATTCTGTTCTTTTCTGTTCTATTCTGTTCTATTCTATTCTATTTGTTTTTCAAGTGAGCTGATCAAACGATGGGAGATAACATACAGTCCTCTTTCTTAAAGGGGTTGGAAAGCACGAGACTTTCAGCTTTATTTCAGCAGCCCATCTTTCCAGGTGTTTCCCCATAGTTACAAAACGTGCGTGTATGCAACAGTGAGCTGTAACATTTTCCTCTGCTTTTGCAAAAATACCATGAACCTGATAGATGTTACCATGTTAGCCATAAATGGCACTGACTCAGATATTTCAGACCTGCACTGTCACAGAATCTGAATGGCTCACAAACCGATTGAAGTACGCAGTCACATTTTTCTAGTAACGTAAAGAAATGCTGCCATCACCATGGAACTTAGCCTAATGAGAGGAAAACAATGCACCATCAGACATAGACTCTGTAATCTGTCCCATTCTACATCCTAGAACATCAGAGCCCATCTGCAAGTACTCACAAGACCAACAATATCTGTTGTCTCCATTGGCAGTCAGGTGTTTTGTGTGGTGAGAACCAAGGCTGTGTCCTGGTCACCAGGAGAGCAGTCAACATCACTGCCCTGCTTCACTCTCATGGTTTTTTAGGGTTCCTGACCTGTGCCCATAACTTCAAGAAAATATCCTCTCCTCTACACTGACAGGTCATTTTCCTCCATCACGAGGATCTATTAACGGCACTCCAAAAGTCTTTGCAAAGACTTCCATTTTTCCCATGAATTTTCTGCACCAGCTGACACAGTTCATGAGAATTCATAAATTCCCTCAGGCAAAAGTGAGAGCATGGTGGTGGGGAGACCTACAGTTGCAGACATTTCCTATGCTATCTAAACCCACCATAAGGCACAGGAAGGGTAATGTAGGACCAACAGACATGTGATAGGACTACTAGCCTGGTGGTACCTTGTGTGTTCACTGAAGTTTAACTAAATAGTAGGAATGCCAAATTGTCATCAAAGTGAAAACAGTGGCAAACATGGTAAGTGCTGCTGACCTTTCTTTCCATACTTACCTATAGTCTCCTGGTATTTTACTTGCAGAGTCACACTCTACCTCATATTTCTGCATTCCCTTCTCCTGTTAAAGAACAATCAGCACATTGCGTAGACCCTGGAAAATCTTCTCTATTGGCAATAGTTAGGAGTGTCAGTAGTGCTGTGACTCTGAGGAAAGAAAAAGGGAAGGATTAACATTTTTACTGAGACTGGAAATGTTAAGATTTTACAGTCAAGCCCACAAAACCTGAAATTTCTTAGTACTTCTTGAAGTTACTTCTTACTTAGTTGTAACTCTTACTAAGTTGTAACCAGGCTGCAAATAACTGTAAATATCAGTACATTATAAGCAACAGAGATCAAAGTTCTGTTTGTGGCATATTTTGCCATTTTTTCAAAGGTTTTCACTAGGATCTCACAAATTCTCTACAACAAGTTGCATTTGTGCATGGGGAACAATTGTGACAGTGTTCAGAAAATGGGGGCGTTTAGACTACTAAGGAAGGGAGGTAAGAAGATGCTAGACCAGATTTTTATGAATCACAAAATCAAGATCATACGTGCTTTCAAATAATGATTTCATTCTATATAAAGGCTATAGTCCACTGATAATCAGGTACTTTCCACAAAATAGTCTCCCATATTACACCTTACAATTTGGATTTTCCCTTCCTTGTTCATTTGGGAGAATGAATGAGTGTTAAGGCAGGCAGAGGACAGGACATGGGTCCAGTCTGTGTCCATGGTAAGCTTAGAGAATCCACATGTTAAGGATCACCTTCTCAACTCCCAAATATCCATGAACATGAGGTAGAAATATGAAAAAAATCTGGAACAGTAATCTCCTGAGCAATGGAGTGAAAACGAGGAAAGAGAGGCCATAACTGTTGTCCCGCTACACCACAGCATCCTTATGCTGATCGTTAGCAAATAAGAAGTGCTTTTTCAGCAGTGGACATTCAAAACCAGTTCCTTTTCTATCACAGAGCAATCATAACATTAGACAAAACCAGAAGACCAGTCATGCTATGTCAGATGAAAGTCACTCTGCTAATACCTAGGGAGGAGTGTAAGAACGCAGTAAATGTGATTTCCTCAGTGCCTCTTGCAAATTTTTTTAATGTGAAACTCAGAGACCTCTGAAGCCAAGTATGGTTTCTATGAATACAATGACTCTCAATGGACTCCTCTTGCAAGAACTTATCCCGTCTTATCTCAAATATATACAAACTTTCAGCCTGTGGCAAGGAGATTTGCACTCCAAGGATTCAAGACCCAACTCTAATCTGACACGGTTATGTCATCTTGGCTTGGAGTTCTCAGGAAATCATTTACCTCTGAAAAAACAGCTGTGAGAAAGTCTGTAGAACAAAGACCTTAAAGATAAGAATGGGAAAATTACAGAATTAGAATTTTTGGGCCAGTGACTGCAGGTAGCTCAGAGATTCAAGAAGAAAAACACCAAAGTGGAAAGGTATAGAATCCTAAGGGGAAAAACAGGGAAACAGCACCATAGAGAATTGGCTCTAGGGAGCAGCAGGAATCAACCTTTCCACTCCCGACCAATGCCTGTTTTGCCAGGAAGGATTCTTGGGGGACTTTATTGGGTGGTGATCCTGCCAGCATTTAGCCTTCTAGCTCTGTAAATCATCTCTCTCATCTGTGTTATCTAATAAATATTTATTTTATGCTTTTAAGTCTTCTTGCAGAGTCTTTTTGCAGACAACTAAGGTGCCAAAATGCAATGTCTCAATAATGGAGGTTTGCACTGTTCAGAGTACAAGTAAGGCACTCAGAGGTACATGCAGCACATTAGCAAATGTATGGGAGTGAGCCAGGCTTTAGCACTTCAGACTTCTGAGTTAATAAGGCCAGTGACATCTTCCTAATCCAGGATTTTTACCCAGTATTTCTTTTTTGTTTGCTTTTTTACAGTTGCTGTGCACAAATAACAACCATATTCTTAGGTCACTATCAAGCCTGACAAGAGACATACTTAACACCTGCAGATTTTAAGGTCAAACTCTGTTTTCAGTGAACCATTAGTATCATGGAAGTAAATACAGTATTTTGAGGATGAACACTGCTTTCGAAGGAAGAAAAAAAGAAAGACACAGGAAACCTGTCACTCTAAGGTACTCACATTCATCAGATGGAAGTACTTCAGTCATTCGGGATCACATCATAACACAGCACTGTTGGAGGATCAGTATCTCCTGCTCTGACAATAGATGCTTTGGTTGTTATGTAGCAGCAGGAAATTATTATCGGTCTTGAACATGTTAATGCCTTGGTCCATTCTCATTATTCCTCAGCTCATGAAAACATCAGAGTTCACCTCATGGTGAAAGTCCTAGTTAAGTGTCTGTGGGAGAAAAAGATGCATATGGGACATGGTGGCAGAGAGAGGGGAAGGCACTGTTTCATACATCAGCAGGGGAATTAGTCATATATGCCTCATGCATGTGGTAAATCTTTCTATAAAAGTCTCTTCCAGTTAATAATTATTTTCCAAACACAAATATGTTCTCACAAGAGAAAAAAAACACTCCTTGTGCTTACTCAGAGTTTCCCCTTTATCCCTCTTGTACATCATGTCTACCAGAATTCTTTTGTAACAGCAGATTTCAGACAAATATCCCTGTGCTCCAGTTGTCCCTGTGTTTAGGAAGGATCTCAACCAGCTGTTAGACATGGAGGGCATGTGCTATGTAGGGTAGGTATATAAACACTTGCCAGTTCATTACCACATCTGCCAGCTTGCTTTCATGTCATTCTCAAAAAAATAATTCTTCAAGATACCCCTGGATAATCACTGTGTATAGTCAAGAGAGAAAACCCACAGAACCATTGAATGCTAGCCTGTCCATAAGGTTAAAAATGTTGTTACTGTTAGTAAGTGTTATTAGTAATTCCAACAACAAAAGAAAGAAAATCGACATGGTATTTAATGAGCTTTTGCCTTGTACAAAAGTATAGGACTGCAGATACTGGGCATGGAGATGTATGTGAGACAAGGCACCAGCCTGCAAGCCCATGGCATCTCACCTGGGGTTTCTGATTTTGATGGAAAGTAATGAGAGTTTGGCAGCTTTGGACAAATATTCAAGTGTTCTTGTAATTGCTTCACAAGCCCCCAGTCAATCTGCTACAAATATGTGTCTGGAACAGCAGAGTCCCAGAGCTAAAGTAGCAGGGTTGATGTTAAGTCAAAATTGACTTTCACAGCTTCTGGCTACAATGACCCTTGTTTTTGCAGCCAAGACTCAATACCCTACCAATAAAAAAGTACTAAAATTTATCTTCAAAGTGCTAATACAAACTGAGAGGAAAATGCCAACACAGTAAACCCTCAGCATTTTTAAGGCACAACAACTTCCTTGACAGACTCCATGTACTTCAGCTGGCAATCTTTTAATAGTCATTCTCCTGCCTTTATGAACCAATGCAGTGTAAAGATTTCTCAGCACTAGTCAATGTCTCCTCCCAGAATGATGAACTAGAATATGGCTAAGCCATTTCCTTCGCAAAGAGAGGTGGAGATGGAGACGGACATGGAGATGGAGAAAGACATGACATGACATGACATGACATGACATGACATGACATGACATGACATGACATGACATGACATGACATGACATGACATGATGAGAGAACTGGGATGGGAAGCAAGGGCTAGGAGAGCAAGGGCTGGTCCTCCTCCAGGGCCATGGATGTTGTTGCTGGGGAAGGCCACCAGCCTACCAGTGGCTGTCCTGTCTCCCTCAGCAGCAATCTCTTCAGGCATCAACCACAGGCAACACAGGCAGCTAGGCTGTGCTCCTGTTGCTTCAGCAATTGTCTGCTTTGTCTGTTCCTGCTTTTGATCCTGCGTGAATGTTTCTGACTCTTGAAAGGACTGCTGAGAAGTTACTGAGTATTGTTTCAGGTCCATATAATATCACTGAGCTATGAGTTTTTGTTGCCATATGAGGATACTTAAGTTAATGGTAGGAACAGAAGTTACCTAAAGTGCAGATGTAAGTTCCAGAGACCTGCTTTTTTAGTATCCCTATAGTTCACAGTTTGTAAGTTATCCTGATTTGAAAATTAATTTCTATTTTGTAAGGTTAATTTTCAGTTAGATCAGTCTTCTGAACTTGTTCCTCATGCAACCCCAAGAAAGCTAAATAGCAGCAGAAGGGAAAGGTGGGAACATGGGCAGCAGCCCAGGCTTGTATCAGCTGAGGCTGTCATAGACACACACATGTAGTTATATACACAGCTTTCACATAATTACTGGATTATGGTCTTAAACCAAATTTTAAAAGATGCTCCATTGAAATGAAAATCACCCTAGAGCTCATCAGCACCATCAGGCCTTGGTCTGCTTGACAGAGTACATACCCCTTAGAGAAATGAAAACATTAATACACTTTTGCTCGATCAACACTTGATGAAACTGTGCAAATACAGCCCTTTCAACTCTTTCAGTCATTTCCACTTCAGAGTTTTATTAAACAAAGAGGTTTCTTTACACAAACACAGATAGCAATGTTACAGATTTGTTTGATAGATGGTGTCTATAAATTTTTTTCATGGTAGGAGAATGCCAGACAACTTAATTCTAGACTTTCCAATAGGAAGAGTTATTGAGAAAAAGAAAGAAGATTGAAATATGGGCACATTCCTCATCAAAGGAAGCTGCTTTTTGTCAATAGCAAAACAGTATATATGGTTTGAATACCTTGTAATTAAAGATTCCATTCTCTATAGGGATCATCATGCTCTTTTTCTTTCTGCTTATAGGTTTTACAGCTTTTTTACATTTATAATGTTTGTTAAGTGAAATAAGAGAGCAAAAGTTTCATCAGCTTTTTATTTATCCAGCCCAAGTAATCACTTGAATACATTAATTGAACACAGTACGAACTTCTTTTTAAACTGGTCTTGATTTCCACACATAAACCTCCACCTATGAGTTGTACACAGGCTACCCTTGATGTTTCTTGATCACAGGAGGCGGAGGATAAATTAAATGGCATCCTTTCTGATGCCTGTCTGAGTGAAACTGTTTAAATATGTGACTTATAAATACAGAAATATTTCTGCACTAAATGTTCTTGTCCACAACCCAAAAGCAATGACCATCTTAGGAGCAGTCTTTCTTCAGACCTGAATATTCATGAATAGCAAGAAGCAGTGTGAGTGAGCTAACCCACCACCATGAATTTGTGACCCAGCTGCTTTGAAAGGGGTGCATTTAACAGGTTCTCTATCTTCTCATTTTCTAATATACTCATCACTGTAACATGGAGTGCATTTTTGGCTTGCTGCATTGTTGTGGAGGGGGTACATTCCTTGTGTGAAAGCCTTGCTGACATTTACGGTTTTGCACTCAGTGGAATAAGCAGGCATTTTATTAGCCAGATCCCAGTCAGGACATAAGAAGAGAGGAAATATAACTCTCGCCTCTAACAGTGTTCAGCTCTCTGGAGATTTATTTATTTCCTCCAAACCTAAGCTGAAGCACAAGCAGCTACTTGAAGCCTGTAACACAAATGGTTTGCATATAATGGCCCAGTGTCTTCCTTTTCAACTTTTGGACCAAGTGCAAATGCCAGTGAATGTTGTTTCCCACTTCTTTTGGCATAACATAACACCACAAATCATAACTTTCCCGCTCCCAGTCTAAACTGTCTTGTAGGTTGTTGGAAACAGAAATAAAAATCTTAGGGTTCTTTACATAATTTCTCACAATGTCAAAGGAACATTAACAGAGATAGAAATAGTAATAGACTATTCTTTTCCAGCTGTGCTATATATTCTCTTGATGCATTAATAATGGAACATAAGGATACTAAAGAAATCCATGGATTACAACTGTCAAAAGGCAACTGCTTTTAGGAAATGAAATGGAAGATCACTATAAGTGGCCAGACAACTTAGGACATAAGAAAAACTACTCAAAAATTCTTCCCAAACCAACTGGGCTACACGAAGGTCTTTAGCAGGTTGGCAGACACTAGAAATAGGGAAGGTGCACCAGGGTTGCCACCGCATCATGGCTTCCCTGGGTCCAGCAGGATGTCTGAGATGCCTAGGATGTCTGAGAGCCCAGTTTTAAATGGGCCAAGCTATGGGTCTGCTGCAACACCTTCCAGTGTGGACATTATTTCACAATCCCAGAAAATCTTACCGTTAAGATTGCTTCTTGACCTTCATAGTTAATTTTCATTGGCCTTGATCTTCACACACACAAGCAAATTCACTTAGCATTTTTCATTCCTTTCTTATGCAAATTGTTGCGAAAACAAGAAGCAGAGGCTGTCAAATTCTTATAGAAAGGGGTTTGGAGTTGGCGGTTTTAGTATCTCTAAAGTCCCCAAAGTTGATGAATTGTGTCTTTTTGACCACCTCAACTCCAATACCTCTGCCTTGAAAGTCTAGCAAAGCTGTCATATATTTTATTCTCATTTCATGAGTGCTGCTACTGTCATCTACCTTTTATTTCTTTAGCTTACTTCCTTGTAAGATCATAAACCTTAATTTTCCTCCGTGTATGGTATGTACATAATTTGATAACACACACAAATAGATAGATAGCATCCCAAGTTACATCTACCCAGAAACCTCCCCATGAAGTTTTCCTCTTTGAATGTATTGATTTTAAATTTTCCCCCTGGGTAAGCCTCTCATTATTTGCTCCTTCCTTCCAGGGGGTAAACCCTTTTTTTACTAGGCAATAAATAATATTATTAAAGCTGACACTAAAGAAAAACTTTTAAAGAAAATTAATACAAACAAATCATTGTGGCACCAATTCGTATTTGTCATGGATGTCACATGCCTGTCTCATTCCTTCTTGTTTCAGGAGGGCAAAAGTCAACAGCAACAAGAAAATCAGACATTTTAATTGTGCCTGATACTAATGTCTTTGCATTTCATGATCCATGTCTCTCTTCTCTTGGGCTATTAAAAATATAGAAGGCCATATCATGTTTGTTGGGGAATACAAAACTGGTGTCACCCAAAAGAATCTAGTCTTATCTGTATGCAATTAGTTCCCATCTTTCAGTCTTCTCTCTCTATACCCAAGGACTGTGTTTTGTGACTCTGGTCAAGTGAAACCCAGAGTGTCAGCTAGAGAATGGGATAGGAGCGACACCACCACCTACTCAGAAAGGCATATCTGAGCTTTAATTTAAAGTTGTCAACAAACATAAAAGCTCCTCCATAATTTTGCAACTTTTCCTCTTTCTCAGGAAAAATATCTCAGTTATTCTGTTCTGTTCTTTTCTATATGCACTCCTTTCAGTGAAATTGGCAATGGCTTAAAAAGAAAAAAATTCTATTTGATGTTTTGTGCTGTTGAAACAGAAGAACAGATGGTAGCAGAAACTAACAGAGACCTCTGCAGACAGTCCTAAAAAAAAGGGCAAAAAATGTTGTTTAAACCACCATCTGTATTAACAGAAAAAGAAAAGAAAGAGAGAGAGAAAGTAAGAAAGAGAGAGAAAGAGAAAGAAAGAAAGAAAAAGAAAGAAATTAATTCCTATAATCTGCTTCTAAAATAAGCTCCTCTCCATAGAAGCATATGTTTGTATTGTATTACCACTAATTTCACGGTGGAAAAAGCTAAGTGATCTCAGATCTGACATAGGCTAAAAGCAAGATTTACCATGGCTCAGTTGTCTTTTAGAAGCTTGTTCAGCTGCACTAAATCATAAATTTGAGATCCAACACAGATTAGTTAATCCAATAAAATGTTTCAGTGCACTAAATTGTGTTGGACTAGAATAGAACAGAAGGGAAGGAGCCATGTTGACCTCCATGACTGACTATTAATTAATGTATTCAAAATTTTCTGCCTAATTTCTTGCACTGTGCAATGCAGCTCAGAAATCTTTGACTTCAAGACAGACTCCTATTTCTTAAGTCCAGCAAGAAAACATTATTAGTAGAGGAAAAAAATACGTGCTCCCTAAAATAAATAAATAAAGTAACACTACATATAATGTGATTATTCTTTCTGTATACCCTGACTGCCATATTATTCTAAAGATACTTATTTTTATCCTTATTGCTAGTTACGAATATGATTTGAGACCTGAAAACCTTCTTATTACAATTTTCACCAAATCAGATCACTTCTTATAAGGATGTTTATTTCAAAGACTAAGCATTTTCTGAACAAAAGAAGAGTTTTATTGGATTATCTGTGTGTTAGTGTCATAATTTTCCAATGTCAAATTGTGATGAGGTAACATATCTGACCTTACACTGTGGAAAAACATACAGCTGTTGTGCATAGGAGAAGGAGTAAAAAAGAACAAAAGCTGACAACCTGGAAGTAGCTCACTCTGTCTCTGTTATGAGGCGATGAGTTTTATGAAGTATTGTGGCATGTAGATGTTTTCTCTCGATCTTTGGAGTGGCACACAAGAAAAAAACCTTGATGCATAATTCACTTGTATTACTATTTCTTTAATTTCCACAGGAGAAGTTATTTTGCAGAATGAATTTAATCACAATGACCCAGGCTGATCTCTTCACTTTCATTCCCTGTCAACTTCTAATCTGCATTCCTATTACCAATAAATACAACTAATTGCACCTGGCCAGAAGCAAAGAATTATTCTGCAACTTCTCAGAGATCACTTTCTTTGAACTTTACCAGCAGAAATCCAGGGAAACACACACAACAGATAACCTCCAAATTCCAGGAGAGCACTCACGAATGTGTAACCTCCAGGCATCTAATGATTTCCAGGTGCACATCACCAAGTGTCTCATCCTTAATTAATTAGCCAGCTGGCCTAGTTTGTCAGCAGCAATAGAACAGTACAGTCACAGCTTCAAGGTGGGTTATGTGGTTGAACTTCCAGCTCTACCTGAGATCAGAGAAAAAAGGCAAAGTACTGCTATGGAAAGAGTATTTTGTACAAGTAGAGGCATGCAAAAAATTCAGTTACAAAATCCCAGTGCTTTCATGACAAGTACAGCAATAGTCTTGGTCAGGGACAAATGCACAACTTTCATCTTTTTATCTCAGTAATCAGACCAAGGAACATAGAAACTGCAGTAGGAATAGCTGAGTATTCTTCAGGGTAGAAGAAAAACTCCCCTGCAGACAACTAACTTTTCTTCAGAATGTGATTAATGAGAACATTTTTGAGTATCTTCCTTGTTCACTTTGTTTGGTTTCTTTAGCTTTAAATGTCCACATCTCTGTTTTTACTTCATGAAACAGGCTGAAGCTAGAAGAAAACTGTTACCACTTGTATTAATGTTAGAGATGAAACGCTAAAAGAAGAACAATATTACAAATTTCTCAAGTAAGTTGTTTTGATGATCCACTGGAGCATAGAAACCTGAGTATAGTGAAGGAGAAGTGCTATGACAGTTTTTGGACCAACCAGATCTACGTTCACTACTCAAAAGAGGGCATGTTGTTCAAAATTATCTGGCACCGGATACCAGTGATTTACCCCAACCACAGACCAGAAACAATGCCGGAGCAGTCAGTAAAATGAGTTCACTTAACTGTGGAGGATGCAGCTGGGTAGAATTTGAAATCAACAAATTCAAACCAGTCATGTTTCGTACTACCAGAAAGCTTTGAATATGGGAATTGGAAACATCTCTTGATTATTTAACCCTTTAGGGATTTATTATTTTTTGCTGCTAGTTAAGAGAAAAACAGGGATTTTGAGATAAAACAATGTGTGACAACTCTGTGTTTTCACCAAAACAGAACCTCTAACCAAAACCTGGTTGTTCTGGTATTCCCAAGGTGTTTCATTTCCAGTTAAGCAAATATACCTTGTTACTTCTGGTTTTGTATCAAGCTGGGCTGAGTAGATCCTGAGTAGATTCTGTTTAACTAAATCATATTTTGCTAAAGCATCATCCAGGAATGAATAGTTTTGTTTTGAGGCATCAGGGAATAGAGAATCCACCTGTGGTTAAGTTTTCTGACTGCTCAGTTTTTTCATTTATATGTAATTTGATTTGATATTTTTCCCCCAGCTTCAGTTAATATTTTCTGACTCATTATGTTTTCCTCCACTAGATTAAAGAACTAATGGAGTTCTTTAGTTACTACTAGGCATTTTCTTCTCAGGAAGACACATGCTGCAATCAAGTCACTCCTTTAGGAAAAACTCTTAAGATTCTTGGTATAACCTTTTTCTTTAATATTTCAATTATTTTTTCGATGTTCTCCTTAAAATTTAGACATTTTGGCTGGATGCAGTGTTCTAGTATTGGCTCTCACTACACTGTGTACAGAGTAAATCCCTCCTTAATCCTACTTGTTACTCCTACTTAAATTTCCAGAGACTGAGCATTTTTGCTGCTTGGTTTTATTTTCCCCATAGGAGCCTTCTGGAAGTCTCATGTCACATTGCTTTTCAACTCTAAACCCTATGTCTATTCCTTTGTCACTACTTTCCCGGGGACAGAGCCTGATTCTATAATCCCTGTGTGCATTCTGTTTTCTAGACAGATGGCTCTGACCTATCTTATTTGAGCTTTTATCTCTTAAATCTATACCTTTGAAATCATCAAGGATTTAATATTTACTGCTAGAAGATTGCAAAAAGATGTAAGTGGTTTGCATCTAGTACTGATCCGTACACATCCCCACCAGAGATCATCTGGATGTAGGCTACAGGGATAACAAAAAATAGAGTGTCCTGTTGTTCTCTTAACCTCAGAGCAGATGCAAGGCAGAAAAATTTACTTTAATCTGTAGGAATTGTGTCCTAAGAGTGTCTAGATTCCATAGCCCGAGATGAGCTCTGTTGGTTAAAACATGGTGCTAATAACACCAAGGTTGAGGTTTCAATCCCTGTATGGGCTATTCAGTTAAGAGTTGGACTCGATGATCCTTGTGGGGCCCTTCCAACTCAGACTATTCTGTGATTCTGTGAAAAATAAAAAAGCAACAAAACCAATCAACTGTGTTTCTTCTTTTCTCTCATTGACCCAAAAACATTTTCTCATGAAGATTTTTCTCAATGCTTCTGAATTAGAGGAGGCTTCAAAAATTTATTCCAGTCAGTATCTTGCACTTTGCATATTTTCCACAAAAAGCTGAATCTGAATCTCATTTGTCCTTTTCTTTTGAGGCACAAGAAATCTGAATCTATATTCTCTACCCTGTTGAAAGAAAAGGCTTTTTATGACAGAACAGAGTGCAATATGAATTAGACAGATAGTAATTGAAGGATATAAAAATGACCAACAGCTCTTCAGAATGAGAAAGTATATATCTTCCATGAATCATGAGACTGCAACTCAAAGGTGATTCTTAATGGAACTGGCTTGATGTTGAGATAATTTTGTATGAAAATTGTCATGCTTTTGGAAAAAAGGTCTCAGTTCACAGTGCAGATTTTGTAACTCCTTCTATTGTAATAATTGGAAAAAAAGCAACAAAACTTCATGTAGAAACAACAAAAAAAAAACCTTCTGGCTTATCAACGGCTTGTCTAGGAGTAATTTTCAGTGTGATTTCACTTCCTAAAGGGAGAAAATAAAACTGGCTCTTCCTGGTAACTCTACTGCAGAAAATATGGTGTCATGGTCTTATCCTCCATCATTCATCTTCAAGCCTTAATGGTAAGTCAGAAGGAGAGAGCTAAGACCCCTTCGGTTTGGCAGCCTACATGCAACTCTTTAAACTAGTACTGGTATACTCTCCCAAGAGACAGAGATGGTTCTTTCCTGAATAGTATCTTCCATAGTAAACTCATCTGTTTTTATTCTAAATTATCTGCCACTATGGAATAACATAACAACAGCAAATATTTTCACTGGCTCTGTGAAGATTAAAACCTCTTATTTCAATGGAGACCTATGACACCTGTTGGTACTTTGGCAGCTTAATGTAGAAATATTGAAAGACTGAATTTGGAAAATCTGGATGCAAGATTCAATTTCCTGGAGAATCTTGAAAGGACTTTCTGGTTCAGGGAGTAAGTGAAAGATACTTCAATAAAATCACAAGGGTGGAAATCCAGGAGATCTTAGTGCAGTTTACTGTGAAAGTGCTTGTTACTGTTCAAACATTTATCTTTGTGCTAGAGAAAACAGATCTGCCACTAAGTGAAAGAGGCTTTTTCAGTGATTTTGATTACACTGTCTTGACAGTCTCACTTTCACATAAAAGCCTGTGAGCTTGATTTTCAAAGGTGGGTTCCAATTGCAGATGCACCAATTTCAGCTGATAAAATGGCCACTGCATTTTTGGAGAGAATACCCTTAACTTCTGTTGTAGGTGGACACGATCAGTAGTCCTGAAAATCTGGCACTGAATTCTGTGAAGATCAGCACCCAAAACTGGACCATAAAAGTTTAGCACCCTTATTTGAAAGGCTTGGCTTAGGTTTACAGGCATCTTTCATGCTCCATCCACAAAACAATGTACACAGGTTGCCATGACCTACCTTACATTTAGCTCCCCTAGCCTGGCTAACTTATTATTAATGGGAATAAGCTATTTTAGTCTGAGATCCCAGGGAAATCTACTGATATCAAAACATTATTAGTTTGCCTCCTTGGGCAAGTAGATGGTCAATTTCCTATGAGATTATACACCTTGTTTGCTATGTAAACAGCTGCTTTGTGTGTCATCATGAAATACATGTAAAACACTTAAAAATATCACCAAACCATTATTCTAGCTGTGTTTCACTACTAAGATATTCTATTGTTATCTATAGGAGCTTAGGTTATGTGCAATCAACAGCTAGAGTTGAACTTACTTTCAATTCTTAGCATCTTTGAAGATTAAAGATGGTTTTGGTTTAAATGTTTAGCTTTCAAAGCTTTTGAGAAGAATGAGAAACAATTTCCCTGCTTAGATTTCTTATAGTGCTATGTTGTTCAAAAGCAGAAAGCAGAATAAGATGGGCCAGAAGAATAAAAATGGCTCATAAATTCCATTAGGTTGACTGTGGAACTCAGAGATGAGGAATGACCCCTTATCATTTAAATCTACTTTTTTTTTCTTGTGAATCTAGCAGATTTTAAAAAGTCACAAATGAAAAAATATCTACGTTGATATTCACCTTTCCTGTGGTTTTATTTTGTGTAATACCTGCCCATGATTTAGTGAAGAAATAATCTAATCCACTTAGATCACCTTCTGGTTTTCATGCAATATTGCTATCACCATGGCAAGTTATGACCCGTGGCAAGTAAACCAAAGCTGTGTTGTAAACACTTTTGCAAATAAAATTTTCTAATGTTTCTACTACTGTTCATTCATGTTTTTCTTCCTGACTATGCAAGTGGGAGCATGGTCATGTCCAAAAAAGATCCCCTTGGAAGATTTTCCTTGCTCTCAAAGTCGTTTGGAAATCTACACTCACTGATGCAATTCATTGCATGCTCTACCAAAGTTTGCAAATAACTGTGGAGGAGAATGGAATTCCTGTGCACCATCCAGGCTGAACCACATGACATTACAGACAAATACCGCAATGGAAGAGTTTTTTGCTCATCAAGTTTATTTTCAATGCTTGAGTTAGTTAGTGCTTGTTCAACTTTCTAGTCCACATCGGCTCCATAAGATCCAACCTTGGGCTTTCCTCTTCTTCAGCAGGTGCTCTGTGTAGTCCACTGACTACATAGAAAGCTAAGACTCCTACTTTAAGCTTGCAAGTATTACAGTATCACAGATTGGGTCAGCTTGGAAGAGACCACAGTGGGTCATCTGGTCCAACCTCCAGGTTCAAGCAGGATCATCCCAGAGCACACTGCATAGGATTGCATGCAGACGGTTCTTGAATATCTCCAGTGAAGAAGACTCCGCAACCTCCCCGGGCAACCTGTTCCAGTGCTCAGTCACCTGCACAGTAAAGTTCTTCCTCATG